GGCCTTAAGGGACCGTTCCTCCATTACCAGGTCCATTGCAAATGAATGGTTTGCAGAACACGGAAGACCTATTAGCATGCGAAGTGTTTACCGACGAATGAGAAGTTTTGGCTTGTTTTCATACCGGCCACACTGGGTCCTCCCTTTATCTCGAGAACACCGACGTAATCGCCTTGAGTGTTGCAGACAACGGTCACTCTGGGATCAGGAATGGAACAGTATTGTCTTTAGTGACGAGTCTCGATTTTGTTTAGGCATGCACGATGGTCGTGCCAGGGTTAGAAGGCGACGTGGTGAAAGGAGGAATCCACAGTTTCTTGTTGAAAGACATGTTCATCACACTGTTGGAGTTATGGTTTGAGGTGCTATAGCTTATGGTTCCAGGTCACCTTTAATCTTCATCAGAGGTAACATGAACGCGCAGCGTTATATCCACGAAGTTCTAGAACCCCATCTTTTACCCTATCTTGACACCCTGCCAGATCCAACTTTCCAACAAGATAATGCCCGACCACATGTTGCAAGAGTCACAATAGACTTCTTTCAACATAATGATGTCACATTGTTACCATGGCCACCAAGATCTCCCGACTTATCCCCAATTGAGCACGTGTGGGATATGATGGGTAGGAGATTGCTCAATTTGCAACGTCCTCCTCAGACTCTAGAAGCACTTCGAGAGGAGTTGGTGGTTGCCTGGAATGAGATACCACAGGAGGACATTGACCACCTGATCAGAAGCATGCCTAGGCGCGTTGGAGAATGCGTAGCACATCAGGGTGCATCCACACATTATTAAAGGTCAAAGGGCTTTAAAGCAGTGCAATCATTTTGAAATTTTTATCATTTACTTATTATGCTTCATTAAGTACTTATACAAAATTTTATTAAAATAAAACTGGTGTTCGGATTTATATGTCACTTAGTATATAATAAGCCTCTCAATGCGGGAAGCAACCTTCAGGCATAATACTTTAAGACGGGTGTTCTTGTCGTTTGGCATCAACAAAGCTTCTAGTTCGGACTTGATTCCTGCTATTGTTCTGAAGAGTAGAACAGCGGGGCTTGCTCCTGTTCTTTCGCGTCTCTTCCAGATATCGTACTAATCCGGCACTATTCCAGAAAACTGGATCTAATACCAATATACATCGTACTTGACGGGTTCTCCTCTTCATCCCACAATGTCAACGCGGGTGTTCCGCAGGGATCGGCCTTGGCTCCGACATTGTTCCTTTCACAAGTCTTCGATCTCCTTTCCTGTATGATCGGATATGACCTAGTCTCGAGTATTGTTCGCATGCCAGCCCGATTACATAAACAATCTACCTGATAAGGCTTTTCCTAGTTCTACTAGCCTCAGGCAGTTTGAAAATAGGATCGGCAAAGTTTCTTTAAGCTTTTCATATCAGCTTCGGTGCTCTGGGCTTCCGTCTTCGGTATAAAAATGTCCGGAGGACTAGGATGCTACAAAGGAATCTCAACACTATTAAATTTTTTAATGAAATCTTTTCTGTTCCAGCTATAACGGATGATCCAAAGTTCGCAGAGCCAATACCAAATGTAACGGTAGCTTTGGGCAGAGATGCAAGTTTACCTTGTGTCGTGGAAAACCTAGGATCCTACAAGGTAAGAAAATTTTTGTACAGATTTTTCTGTAGCATATACGCTAATTAAATGCTGAAGGCATCCCGAGCCGTACTTTTTTTGTTATATCAGGATCCGAACAATACGAACGTGTTTACTTAATATTCCGTTTGTTTCATTGTTGTTTCATTGCATTATCAAGACTAGAGTTCGCAGACGCGATAATTTCACTTAACTTTCCGAGTTTGAGAGGGGAAACGAAGCTACTGTAATGAGATGTTGTCGAGCGTGGATCCAAGAAGACAGAGCGACAGGATCGTTATTTGAGGCAACAGGCACTTAGAGATCGATTTTCCACAACAAGGGAAGTTGCGAACCAGTGGTTTGATGCTGTGGGAAAGGCAATAACATTATAGTCAACGCCAAACAAAGTGGCGTGCACGTCATCACGATAAAAATTCCCCGACCTAATGCCTAGGTTTCTATCACAAACAATTGCTCTATTGCAATTTCATATTAATGTGATATATAAATTGTAAAATGGTCATTACTCTCTTATTATGGTTCATAGTCATATAAACATTGTTATTAAAATATCACATAAGTTGCTTTCTGATAAATTTAGACGCATTATGCGAAATAAAATGTTTTGCAAACGCTCCAATCACTTATCGACATGTAAACGCACTAAACCGATTTCGCAGCGTTGACACATTGACACCTTGAAACTTATTTAAACTGGGAACTGACATTTGTATTAATTTTGACACTGAATCAATTTGTGGCATTTCAAATCTTTATAAATCCTTTGGCCCCGCATACTGTAAATCAACAACTGTTTGTTTCAAAACAAAATTATTCATTTTACGAGTAGATAAAGGCAATTTTGGTATATAAAGATGCCCAAACAGTTAAATAGTCGGTGTAAGGAACTCGTGGCCTCGTTAATGCACTACTTTGAGCAAGAAAGGGACAACAACGGGCCTTTGTTGCCTTTAAATGCTGTTTAAGAGGTAGGTTACTAATAATTATATGTAATGTATATTAATAATAGTGAAATTTTATTTCATTTTTTGTAGCGTGTTGCTGCTGCTTTAAAAATTAGTTTAAGGACAGTTAGTCGTATTTCCGAGGGTGTGAAAAGTGATGCAAATTTAGAATCGCCCAAGAAAAAGCGGAGTTATATTAAACGTGCAACCAACACAGCGACATTGGATACAAGTGCCATTCGAGAAGTGATCTATAATATGTATCACAAAAGTAAGATCTTATTATAATAACTTATCAGAAATTTGCATTAATTTGTTAACTAAATTATAATGTCATATTACACATGGTTTCAGAAGAACAAGTTACGATACAAACTTTATGGTCTCGATTAAGAGATAGGGCATTATTTGATGGTAGTGCCACGTCTTTAAGGCGGTTGCTTAGAGATCTTGGATTTAAGTGGCTTAAGGACAATCCGCGACGAGGGCTCATGGAACTACCAAGTATAGCTTTGAAAAGGGTGGAATTTCTAAGGCAATAAAATCAAGCCAAGGTTGAGGCCTTATACCAGTTTGTCTTCCTCGATGAAACTTGGATATTTCAAAATGGGACCGTAGGTCGCTCTTGGCAAAATGGAAACCAAAAAAGCGTGAAAGCTATTAAAACAGATGGTAAAAGGTATGTACTTTTACACAATTTGCACTATAAAATTTAAAACTAATATATTTTAGATACATTATATTACATGCTGGAAATGAAAATGGGTTTATTGAGGGTAGTGAAGCGATATTTTCTTCGAAAACAAAATTGAGCGATTACCATGGAGAGATGAACCAGGACAATTTTTTGAAATGGTTTCAACATCAGTTATTAGAAAAATTGGAGAGTCCATCTATGATTATACTGGATAACGCCCCTTATCACAGCATGATATTGAACAAACTGCCCAACAATGCATGGACAAAAAAAAATATCCAAGACTGGTTGACAAATCAAAACATACTATTTTTAAACACAATGTTTAAAACAGAGCTATTGAGTATTGTTGCTCGGTACATAATGCTTCTTAATTATATATATTTTGGTCGACAGTTTATATTTCTATTGTTTATTCCTATTCTTAAAATAACTGCTTTTTTAGAAACAAACCACCTAAAATATACGTGATTGATGAATTGGCGGAACAGCATGGGCACAAAGTTCTTCGTCTGCCTCCTTACCATTGTATATTTAACCCTATTGAGTTAATTTAGGGCATAGCAAAAGGTTACTATAACAGACATATTGGTAGAGATGGTAACAGTGAAAAAGACTGTTTCGATATGTGGAACGAGGCTCTACAAACGGTTACCCCAGACATGTGGAAAAATAGTGTTCGACATACTGAGCAAGAAATTTTTAAATGGTATGAAAGAGAACGAATTTTTGATCGACCAGACATCGAACCTTTAATAATCAACTTTGAGAGTGATGAAAATTCAGATTCAGACAGCGCTGAAGAAAGAAACTCCGACTAACTTTATTGTACAGAAAAAGCTTACACCAGTAGCTTACCTAATTTTAGAATGCATTTTTCTGTATGAATTCTGTAAAATAAATACCATGCATAAAATTTGGAGGACCCCATTTGGATTTTTATTCAGTACCTTTAAGCTATCAATTAAATATGGTAGTTTCATAGTGTCATCTGATCAATAATTGTCATACTTAATGATTATGCAAGTACAGATCTATAATTTTATTATACTATTATTTTTGTTCTCATTTGAGGTTAATATTGCTTATAAACCTAGATATGTAAATAATAAATTTTATTATTTTACAAAAAGTTTGGCAACAATGTAAATTTTTCAACACACCCACCTTGATGACGTGCACGCCACTTTGTTTGGCGTTGACTATATGTATGTTCTGGTCATTATTTTCTGACGTTTTTGGACATTTGGAAGCCTCCTTCCATGGTCTCCTAGATGCAGTATGTACTAGATAGCAACGTGATACGTTTTCGATCACGAAGCTTGTCTTGAATGGAGGATGAATAGTGAACCAGTCGAGAGTCGTGGTCGGTTCACACGATCACGATTCAGTTTATTCATTGAAGTAGGATTTCAGTTGAAGGTTGTGCAGTTTTGAGGTCATATTTTAGTGGTTTGTTAGCAAAAAAGTTAAAACAGTCACATAAGCAGATAAAAAATATAGAAGAAAAAGCTTTGTTTAGTTTATGAAGGCATATTTTGGTACAAATCTTGAAGTGGGCCAACTGAAGTGGTAAGGGGCTCGTAGATCAACTCGTAAATATCCTGCTCTATATTTAAACTAAATTGTTGCCTATGCATCGTTTTGAAGCGCTACTACTGTTTATCGTTTAGTGCTCCCAACGTTAATCGCGCGCAATGCCGATCTCCTCCTTAATAATCTCTAATCGGATGTCAAGCCCGCCATCCTCAAACTATTCTAAGCTCCTCGACACGATTGTGTATTGTGGCAAGCTGTTAAACAAGCGCCGCATACTGCATCCGATTCGCAATCGGAATGGAATATCTGTATCCGGAAAACAGCCCGTGCCGACCGGTCAGAAAGCCGCCGGTATTAGATTAATCCAAGACTTACGGCCCCGGAAACAATAGACAGCCGATGCTGTAGCATAGATCCAAGTAGGCGATTATTCATGTGTTAAGCTAAACCGACTGCCTTGCCGGCTCTGCCATGCCTCCGAAACAAATATTGTTCCAGGAGATGATCGGGTTAATAATTAAATTGCAACAGTAGTTGTTTGGTAATTGAGTTCGGGTTTGATTGATGTTGACGAAATTGAAAGCTGTTAATTGATCGATAGAAAGATAACGGTCGGTGAATTTTGGTTAGGTAGTACCGAGGAATATTAACATATATGTCAAAATAGGCAGTACTATCCTTTTAAAGACATATCAAAGTAGTATCCATGCTCGTGTGACTGTCGCTTCAATGAAAGTAGTCTGAATGGTATTGCAGAGTATTGGGCTCTTTTGGAATAAGCTTCAATGATGTTTGAAGTCCTAGTAACGGATTTTTCGTTACAAGAAAGGAAAGTTTTGTTAGGCATCACACGCCAAAAAAGCCCTGATTCGTCTGCATTGTACACTTGTGACGGGTCAAGATTTAAATCGTTCACCTTTTGCAAAAATCTTAATTTAAACGGCTCTATGCAGGTGGCATCGTTAGAAAGTTTCTCTCCTGTAATAGTCATTAAACGTATGCGATGACGACTTTTAAAACGTTCAAGCCATCCTTTGCTGGCCACAAAATCAACTTTTTTGTTATTTCCTTATAAAAGAACTTAACTTTCATGGCCAACATGGGTCCTGAAATTGCATGCCTATTTCTTTCCTGAAGAAACCACATGTACAAAGCTCTTTCCACTTCTGGATGTTCAGCTTTCTTGAGTGTCTGTCTCTTGGCTGGCCCGCAGTCAGTAGTTGACACGAAGTTCTTGATCTTCTCGTGGTTTCTTTTAATGTCATAAATTGCAGATCGGCCTACGCCGTATTCACTTGCTAAACTACTGAAAGTTTCATTGCGATTTAAGCGGTCTAAAATATCACATTTTTCTTTAATTGTCAATGTTTTGTGCTTTCGCTTCTGAGTTTGTGATGACATTACTAGGTACTATACTTAATACACAATGAATAAATGGTAAACAATGAACGCACGCTAGGCCGTACCGCTATCTCAAGTATTCAAATTCAAACTAAGTCAAATAATGCTTACGCGTCGAGCACGATAGCGGCGGTGCGTACAAGTTGTAACATGTTCAAACCTGCGTGATCTACATTAGCGAAGATTGACAAATACGTATGTATGTAATATTCGAAGACATGTCGGATTACAGGGGGTCGAATTATCGGTGGTCCACTGTAGTAAGAATTTTATTTTTTAAAAATACCCGTGATGATTTTCATAATCCTATCAGGCGGTCCATACTATTCTGAGTGACAAAAAGGTCCGTATGTTTAAGTAAGTTTTCGCATATATGTTCAGTGTCCCTTACTAGTAAAATGATTAAATTTTCACCTTGATTCGTCAACTGACTGCTGGTTCAATAATGTGTTGAGGATCCACGATTTCTTATACACTCATTGACACGCCTGGGACTTCCAAAACCTCTCGCTCGCTGTCTTCGGCCTATAAGTCCACGCTCGTTCACACTGCAGTACACGGCTTAAGGATCTGTTGGTCCGCTTAGAAACCCGTCTTATCGATAGACCGATTTCACGCATCCCGACAATTCCCCTCTCAAAGTCACTTAGCCTGGACAGCCGGTGAATTCTACGCACTCAACAAGCTACGCGAAATTTAACATTCAACTGACACCGTAAATGTACGAAAACCGAATGCTTCTTCATCACCAAACAATACACACAGCCGCCACAAAAACTTAACAGAGAAACCTGACCATTTTATCACTTGTTCATGGCAAGATAAATCGATATCTAAAAAATTCTTGAATTCTAATAAACGTTTTACTTTTTTTGTCACTTAACTGACTATACTACAACTATCTAAAACTGTAATGACTCATACGCGTGATCAACACGTGATCAGAGCTCGATCCCGGCTTCCTCCAGTACAGCCGTATAGCGTACGACATATGTAGTTTCTGTGGCTTTGCGGTGGTCAACAGCACAGACAGAGATGGAAATAATGGCTGATTGTTCTCCGCCGGTAGAACCAATGAAATCAAAGACGCGCCTCGACCGGCAGACTCATATGCGTCGGCAACGCATTGGAACGTGTTTCGTTGAGCGATCGCATATTGTGTGTTTTTATAAGAATTGTTGTGTGATTGTTATTGTTGTGGTTTCTGTGGTTACTGTTTTGATTATACTTAACCATGGACAGTACAAATGGCACGGGTGGAAGTACTGAAAGCCAGGGAACAAGTAGACGGCTTCGTAAAGCACTGAAGAGGGACGCGAAAGAAATCGCACACAACGTGTTCAATTATCTGAACAGAACTATGTCGCAGGGAGATGAACTCGCGCGTTGTGAAAGTATGACAGCCGTTCCAGAGTGGACCATTCGCAGGGTGGTGCATGAAAAGAAGAAAACTGGAGCTACTACTGATCCAAAGTTTAATTTGAAGGGACGAAAGGCCGTTAAATTGGATGACGATAGCAAAATGGCGTTAAGGCGAACCGCACATTCATTCTTCTTTAGGAATGAGATACCAACCCTCAAGGCTGTACATGCAGCGATCAAGGAAAATGAAATTATACCCCAAATGAGCGTCGAGGTAATGAGGAAATCCCTGCACGAAATTAATTTTCGTTACGAAACGCGTAATCGGAAGTCAGTATTGATAGAGAGACCTGAAATAGTCGCCTAGCGTCGAAAATACCTACGCGAAATGATTGAATATAGGCGACAAAGCAGAAAAATCTATTATTTGGACGAGACGGGTAAATGCAGGTCACACAGTTAAAAAAACCTAGATAGACAAAAACGTAGTGAGTAACCGACAAGCAAGCATTGAAGGTTTCTTAACAGGTCTTCGTGGACCGTCAGGGAAAGGTCAAAGATTGATCGTAACTCATATTGGTAGCGATAGTGGCTTTTTAGAAGAGTGTGACTTGATTTTCGTCTCTAAGAAAGGAGGTGATTACCATGACGAAATGAATGCCAGCTGCTTCGAGAGCTGGTTTCAAGGGGTGCTTCAGCGAGTTGAGCCCAACTCAGTGATCGTCATGGATAATGCTTCCTACCATAGTCGTCGAGCCGAACGTGTACCGACTATGGGATCTCGAAAAAGTGACATGCAGCAATGGTTGCGCGAAAAAGGAATCCCGTTTGACGATTCATGTGTGAAAGCGGAATTGTATGAAAAAATTAAACAGCACAAACCTGCGAACATTAGTTACGTGACTGATGAGATGGCCCGTCAATGTGGTGTCACTGTGCTGCGGTTACCGCTCTACCACTGTGAACTGAACCCAATAGAGCTCATCTGGGCTCAAGTGAAGGGTTATATTGCGCGCCATAACACAACCTTCAAATTACCAGACGTTAAGGTTTTACTTGAGACTTCCATACAGCTAGTAACGCCCGAAGCTTGGCAGAATGCTATCCGTCATGTTGTGAAGGAAGAAACAAAAATGTGGCAGCTTGACCACCACATCGACACCATCATAGAGCCAGTTATAGTCAATTTCAACGAGGAAAGCGATAGCGACAGTTTATTACTGTCAGATGTAAGTGGAAGCGACGATGAATAAAGGTAATTCCCAAATTTTTGACTTACAATATGTTTCAAACCACTCTTTATTAAGCATGTGACAAATCTAGTTCACCCATGTTAAACATTCATACCCCGTCTATGAACAGCCGACTACTGGTAGTTAAGTGATGTTCACGTGAACATCGATGAGTCATTACAGTTTTAGATAGTTATAGTATAGCAAACGAAATTACCATGCTATTCCCGCTGCCATTTATGTAATTTCCATAAAAAAGTATTAGGTCTACGATATTAAGTGTAAATTGAATGTGAAATTTAAGCTCGCGTTCATAATAGACGGCTTATTCTAGTTCATATCGATGCAAATACAGGTTTTCTTTTTGCCAATATACTGCGAGTCGAGCACGATTAAAGAAACTCAAAGCCAGTGCAGCAGACTGAAAGGAAAGAGCAAATAGAGAGCTATCGACAGAAGATTAACTGTTCTGCTATTTGGTAGAGCAGAGGTAAAGATTCAGGTATATTTCCAAGGCGGTTTTCCTAGCTCCATGTTCTAGATATCCATTCCGTCTTTTTTTTAATACAAAGTGTTATCGACGCTGGAAGAAGCATATCGATTTTGGAATCATTATACAGGGCGGTCACAACGTCATTTTTTATTTTATTAGAGAAAAGCGACTTTAAAGTAAAATAAAATCTGACAACGCCGCAATGTCAGACGCATATTAACTGATGACATTCGCAGAGCGACGAATTTCGTCCGTGAAGTGAGAAATGCACTCCATGAGTTCCGCAACGAGCAGTGGAGCGACTTTCTGGCGGGGATGCTTGAATCAAGTGGCAAATTCGCTCAGAAACGGAAGGCAAGAACAACTACCACATATTCATGGTCCTGGAGGCATAGTTTTCAGGACTGGAGGATAAAGTGGAGGTTTTTGCTGACGTCATGCAAAGGCAGTTCTCTCCCAATTATCATCTGGACAATGACCTGGACGAGGAACGACAAATTGTAAGATCTGTCAGGAGATACTTCAGAGCGAATGGCGATACCAACATCGGTGACTCCTTTTTAGAAGATTCTTCTACGGAAGACTCTTCAGATGAATCTCAGCATAGCACATCAACGGAATCCTCTGAGACTCCGTTTTGCACACCAGCAGAGCTCCAAGGCCACATTAAGGGCCTAAAGGTGCGTAAAGCACCTGGGAGGATCAAATCACCAACAAAGCACTGAAGTTGCTTTCACTCAAGGCTTTGACTTATCTGGTGGCAATAATAATCAATGCAATGCTCAGAACTCATTACTTTCCTAAGGCGTGGAAGGTCGCTGAGGTCATCATGATCCAAAGAAGGCAGGTTGGATATTCTCCCG